CTCTTCTCCTTCTTTCTCCTCCATGAGTCTTCGAATGGCACTCTCAATGTTCCCTCTCTCGAACCCATTCTTAAGCTGCACCCCAACTTTCCAAACATGGCATACATATCTGGCATCCACCATTAGATCAGTGAAACAGGGAAGGCAAATCATAGGGATCCCTTCGTACAAATACCCTCCAACGTTGAATTCCATCCGTTATGATTCCAAAATGCTCCTATAGCATGATGTAAGGAGAAATTTTTAGCTAGAAAAAGTGGATGTAAGCTTGAAAGTGAATAATTAGTTTTGGCATAATTAGAAGAAGTGCTGCACTCTCTTATCCTTCCTGTATTTTTGTTGGATATTTCTTTTAAATTTAACCCTAATTAAAAAATATAGAGTCAAAATACAATTATAAGAAATTTTAAGTAGCTTATGTAAATTATGGTTCCAATTTACTAGAGAAAGAGGCTGTTCATTCATCCTAAAAAATTGTAGTACCGTCTAGTTTGAATTATTTGAAGATTAAACGGAAAGAGTTTTCTAGACCGAGATATATACTTAGCATAATTGAATTTATATTTTTATCTTTAAATACATTATATATAATATTTAAACTATGATTATTATATTTTTTCTTTTTAATTTCTTTTATTAAATCTTAACTTATTATATGTTAACATTTAGGAGAATTAATTTTTTATAAATTTGTTTGTAATTTATTAAAAAATTTACAAAAAAATCTTTAAACTTTTTTTTATCTAAGAGTACTTTAATTTAAAATAAATTCAAAATCATATTAAATTTTCACTGTAAAGATTAGTCATATGAGTAATCTAAATTAATCCGAAATTTTTATCCAAAATTCAAGTTCGAGTTGCAAGTCCAAATTTAAAAGTAGAATGATGGATTGGTCTTGGGTTGAGTAATTAAGATTGAAGATAGAGTTATGGTTAGGCTTGAATTTAGCATTTCATATGATGGGTTGAACTTAAGTTATACCTCAAACTTGTTCAATCTGTCCGAATTACAGTCTTAAAAAAAAAAAAAAAGGAGGAGGAGGAAAAGGTGGGGGGAATAGAGGAGTACGGACGAGAGAAACATGAAACACGATAGAGAAAATATTAGGTGGTTCGTGCATAATTTGTGGTCCGTACCACTCAAAAAGAGATTAGAAATTTTTGCAAGAAAGCTTCACACATCATGACAACATTTTTTATTTTCTCTTTCAGGTCCCTTTCTCTCTCAAACTATCTACAACTATAAATATATATTAACCCACTAAATATATTATCCATTAACGATTTACTCATTAGTAACTAGCTCAGATGAATTACTCATCCAATAATTATTAATTACTAAGCAAGCATTTGGGTTTGGGTGTATTTTGACAGGCTTATTGTGATTTCTTTTAAGGGATGTTAGCAAGCAATTCCAAACAAAAATAAATAAGAGGTTACTCAAGTGAGTTATGTATGGGAATACATCTATTATTTGTAACTTGTGAGTTGTGCTATGCAGAATGATTCTGTAATATAATATAGATAAGTAATTTGGAGGAGTTGAATTGGTTCAACTTGTTCCTTTATTCAATTTTTTCTTAAATTAAATTTACAAAATAAAAGTAAATTAATCAACTAACAAAGCAAAAATAAATGCAAATAAAGTAAAGTAGAATTTGAGAGACATCAGTGCAAAATATCATTCTGCATAATAGGTCTAACAATCAACGGGCGGCTCAATATAATTTGAAGTCTTAGGCAAAAATTATAAAAATAGCTTTAATTAGTTGTTCATATGTTGAATTTTTACAATTTTTTTTTTTTTAATGTTTTGATTATTAATTGTAACAAATTTTTCAATAACTCTATTTTGAGATTGAATTACTTTATCTATTCTTCTCTTTTAAAATTTTTATATATCCCGATTTATGCTTTATAGGAGACATATTCAATCATATAAATAAAAATAGCTAACACTAACAAACAAAATATACAATTTATGTTAACAAAAAATTTAATGAATTTACAAAAAAAATTAATAAATAAAGTTAAAGAACAATGGAACCTAATTTATAAAATTTTGATCAAATTCTCCAATAAATTATTCAATTGAATAAAAGTGAGTTCAGTAAGACATTGTTAATAAGTATTGAAAAAAAAAAAAAAAAAAAGTGTAAACCAGAGAGGGGAGACATCGTATTGAGAGGGGGAAAAATATGTAAGGAATATGAAAAAAAAAAAAAAAAAAAAAAAAAAAAAAAAAAAAAAAAAAAAAGTTAATAGGAGAATATAGAAAGTTAATGGGAGAATTACAACTCTTGTGTAATGATAGTCCAAAAATAAAGGGTTAAAATCTCAAGTTTCAATAATTACAGCTCTCATGTAATGATGATCAGAGAAAAAAAGGCTGAGAAAAAGCATAAAAATCTTTAGTTTCAATAATTACAGCTCTGGTGTAATGATAATCAGAGAAAAGAAAAAAAAAATGAGAAAAAGGATAAAAATCTTAAGTTTCAATGATTACATCTCTAGTATAATGATAATCAGAGAAAAAAAAAAAAAAAAAGATTAGAAAAAAAATTATAAAAAATAAAAATAAAATTAAAAAAAAAAAAAAAAACACCTTAAGTTTCGATAATTACGGTTAGTGGAATAATAATCAGAGAAAAAAAAAGGGTGAGAAAATGATAGAAATCTTTTTGGTCCATTATTAAATCTTTTCATTAGTTGGGGTATAATAATAGAAAAAAATTAAAATTTAAGAGAAGTTAGAACATATAAAAATATAAAAAAATTGAGACATTTCAAATCTCCTTCTCTCGCATTTTTTTTTTTTTTTCACCTAACACACAAACAAATTAAAACTGAATAATTTATAAATGGTTCAATGTTTTTAGAACAATATAATTGTGAAAATTTTGGATCAAATCAACTGATTTAGTTTTATTCGATTTGATTTACCAATTCAATCGGGTTTTTGTGCACCCTTAAGAATTGGTTAATTAATAGTTAAAAAAATTTACAGTTTGCTAAAACAATTATTTTTTTAATTAGTCAGAAGATCTAATCTATAACTAAAAGTGTGTATAATACTCTCAAATTGCCACCAAGGAACGGTTAATCAACACACACACACACATATATATATAATGTCAATAGAACCCATGCTAACATTACAGCAAATGAAACATTGAACCGAACAATGTGCTGCCGCAACAGAAATTATCAATAAATACAAACATGTGGGTCTCACATTTACTATGTCATTTTAATATTATGACTTGGTCATATTTTATTTTTCATATGATCTATATGGCTTAGTTTTTCATTTCCGAAGACAAATTTATTGTTGCAGTATACATAGTGTAGCTAGTAGCTTCTTCTCAGCAGCGAGCATTTAATATGCTATGTCGAGAAATATATATTAAAATTTGGCCCTATATAAGACTACTGGTGGGTTGGCTTTTGAACACTATAACTAATTAGAATTTCCTAAATTGGTTGGCAGGCTGTATTAGGGTGAAACTATTTTGAAATATTTTAAAATCAACTCTGTTTTATTAGTTTCATAAAAATTGAAGCCAAACTGAATTATGAAATCAATAGAAATGAAATTGTTCAATTTGATTGCATGATTTTAAATTTTTTATAATTCAATCCAAAATATAAATAGAATTAAATATATATAATTCAAAAGATTTATAATTTAATCAATTCTTAATTTCAAAAATGTGTTGAATTCAACCTTCATTTGTTGTTTTTATCACCATTTTCCTGCAATTATTGTTTCTTTCATCATTTTCTTTGTTTTGCATAATGCTCGTGACACACAAAGGTAAAGACTTTCTAACGAATTCTCAATACTTTTCAACTTCCCATCATTTTACTTTTATTACATGCACGCAAAACACGACACACACGACATATATTTTAATACACACACAACAAATATATTAATATATCTCTACACACAAACGACAACACTCAAATCCCTTTCTCTCACATATCACTCTCTTTGTTCTTTTTACTCTCACATTTCACTTTTTACTCTTTTCCCTTTCTTTTACTTTTCTCTCACCTAGCGGACAAACAAATCAAAATCCAACAATTTATAAATGATACAATATTTTTAAAATTAAAATTAAATCAAATCAAATCAGAATTATTTATTATTATTACTAGAATACTTTGATAATTGATGTTGAAATCTGGAATTGTCCTCATATTATTGAATATAATTAAATTGAATACTTGATAAATTGTCCTCGTCCAGAAGCACGGTATACACGTGATAATTAATGTGCTTGTTTTGTTTCAGGGCTGCCGTGATAATTAATGGTCCCGGTGGGACCTTTGCCATTCAAAACTTTTCGTCAAAAATAATGAGATTTCGATGTGGTTGGTGTTGGGAAGAGATGCTCTGCGGATAAGGCTGCCCTTCATTTGACGTGTCATAGTTGTATTGCAAAAATAGTTGTTGGTCCATGAAGTTGGTGTGTGAAATTAGAAAAACGTGGAACTGTCCAAAATATATATATATATATATATATATATATATATATATATGAATGAATAAATAAAATAAACAAATGTTTCAAAAAATAATTAATGCTTTGTTATAATTTTTAAAATATCCAATTATTTTTTGACGGAAAAAGTAACAAAAAATTAGAAAGAATTTATGGATGAGTTAGGTGAGAGATTGAGTTTTTTTGAAAAATTGTTTGACTAAATTGCTTTAACTTTTAAGGAAAAAAAATGAAAATAAAAAAATAAAAAAAAAAATTTACTACTTAAAAACTTCTGAATTTGAAATACATGTGATAATACTGATAAAAATAAATGTATTTTTACTCTGATAAATATTATAATTTGTTGATTAAAATAATGACATAAACGCTTACTCCAGGTAGAAACTACCCTTTTTATTTTTTGAACGACAAATGATTTTACTATTTTACCCTTATATAAACAACCTCTTATAAAAAGGCCACTCGGTGTTTGTTGCATGGAAATATCAGCAATAGAACTCAAGCTTTGGAAAGACCTCTCTAATGGCTAGTCAAACGTCTCCTCCTTCATGGCTTATCCTGATCAGCCTCACTTGTGCTCTGCTTATTAGCTGCATCATAGCATCTGACGGAGATCAAAAGGCATGTGTGTATATATATATATATATATATATATATGATTCATATTGCTTTTAATGTTTTTAGAGCTTGATCATTATGCTATGAACAAGGCTTGTTAGTTGTATTGTCAACAAACTTCATCCAGAAATATTACTTTTTATAAAACGAATATGTTGATAGTGAGATCTCGTATATTAGGGTATATCTCTGTTTCAAGTATTATACTAAAGATATGTATTTGAGGCTGCATTGCGCTAACACACGCAGAATATATACCGAGATCAATTATTTGATCTTGTTTTAGAAAGATCAATTTCTAGAACTCATGATCATTTTGTTGTTGCAGGTTTACATTGTGTACATGGGTGACCGCCCCAAGGGTCATCTCTCTGCATCATTCCTTCATACGAGAATGCTACAGGAAGTTGTTGGCAGGTCCCTACATCTGCATATACTCTTTTATATATATATATATATATATATATATATACCAGAACATTAACATGTCAAAAGGCAGTGGATATAGATTATAGAGTAACAACTTGAGTGGGCTTTTTAACTTAAAAAAACAACACTCTTGAGTGGGCTCCACCTTTCAAAAGAAAAGAAAAAATCTTGAGTGGGATCCGTAACACGGTAATCACAAATTGAACATGCTGTTTAAATTTTAATACAATTTCTTGTCACATTTGCATTGAATCTGGCACAAATTGTTAAAAATGAAGGCTCTGTTTGTTTGTATGTCAAATATTTTATAGAAAATAATTTTTTTATAATTTTTTTTTCAGATGTTTGGTTATTCAAAATTCAAGTAATTAAATATTTTATTGAAACCTAACAAAAGTAACTTATACTTTTATTTTGAAAAGTTTTTTCAAGACATTAGCCAAACACCATAAGATAAAAATAATAAAGTAATTATTGAAGGAAAAAAATAGAAAAAATGGTATCATAAGAGTAGTACCTTGTACACAAAAACAATACCTATATGCAAAAAAGTGGTACTATATAACAATCATAAATGTAGTTTGGAACGGATGAACAATATTTTTTTCAAAATTGCATCAACATTTTGAAGAACTTTATTTTTTCGAAAGATCATAACTTTGACTCTATCAAATGATAAATATGAGTCCATAACAGCATATATCATCCCATGTTCTTATTTATGCACCGCTGAACAAACTTTGGTTGTCTCTCTCTCTCTCTCTCTCTCTCTCTCTCTCTCTCTCTCTCTCTATATATATATATATATATATATATATATATATATATATATATTTACTTAATTTCAAGTTTGGTGAACAGATGAATTTAACTTTGACATGTAAAATTATTTACCCCAAAAAAAAAAACCTTCGACATAAAATGTCCAAGAAGAAAACTCAACTATGTTAAAATGTCCAAAAAGAAGATAATATAATCTCTCAGAAGAAAATGCACACACATCCCAGTACATTTATACATCAAAAAATGTTGAAGTTTGAAATTTACTGTATATTAACTAACTTCTTTATATATAACTGGATGCATTTAACAGTAGGGCATCAGAATCTTTACTGTATAGCTACAAGAGGAGCTTTAATGGGTTTGTAGCAAAGCTGACAAAGGAAGAGATGGAGAAGATAGCCGGTGGGTGATTAATTTATAATTTCAATTTAATTACTGAATCCATCCCATAATTTGTTTGTCCTCAATCTCTTAACTCTGCTTTTAACTTATAAATTAAAAAATTGCAGGCATGGAAGGAGTAGTGTCAGTGTTCCCTAATGAAAAGATGGAACTCCACACAACAAAGTCATGGGACTTCATGGCCTTCACACAACAAGTTCCAAGAAGCCAAGTTGAAAGCGACATCATTATTGGAGTGTTTGACACTGGGATTTGGCCTGAATCTGATAGTTTCGATGGCACGGGATTTGGTCCGATTCCAAGCAAATGGAGGGGCTCTTGCCAATTCTCCTCAACAGATTTCACTTGCAACAAGTACATACCCCGGCCATAAATTATATGAATGCACGGATATATACATAATTAATTGCTTGTGCTGCCACTAAAGATTTTGAAAACTTTGCAGTAAAATTATAGGAGCTAAATACTTCCATATAGGAAGACCAATCCCTGCAGAAGATTATGCTTCACCAAGAGATAGAAATGGTCATGGGACACACGTTGCATCTACAGCAGCAGGGCGCGTAGTGAACGACGCAAGCCTATTAGAGTTTGGCAAGGGTACAGCAAGGGGAGGGGTTCCCTCGGCTCGGATTGCTGTGTACAAGGTATGTTGGAGTGATGGGTGTTCAGATGCGGATATCCTTGCCGCATTTGATAATGCAATTGCTGATGGAGTTGATATAATCTCACTTTCGGTTGGACGTGGCGGGGAGTCACTTCCCTTGAATTACTTTGAAGATACCACTGCCATTGGAGCTTTCCATGCTATGAAGAACGGAATACTCACATCCAATTCTGCCGGTAATTCAGGTCCTATTTATGGAAGCATCAGAAATTACTCACCATGGTCTCTCTCAGTGGCTGCTAGCACCATAGACAGAAAGTTTGAGACCAGAGTTCAGTTGGGAAACAACATGTTTTATACGGTGAGCAAGTATACTCATTACCATATATATAATCCTACTCAGACTTCCAAATTTTTTTGAGGGACATCTGTTTGATTTATGCCATCCAATGAATGTGCCTTTTAAATTAACTCTTTTGACATGTAGGGAGTCTCTATAAACACGTTTAACGTCGACTATTCATACCCTCTAGTTTATGCTGGGGATGTACCGAATACTCAAGCGGGTTTTAATGGAGACCTTTCCAAGTAAGAAAAAAAGAAAAGAAAGGGCAAATGTTGATCAGATTTTCTGAATTAATTACATCATAGATAATTGAGGATTAATGGAAAATGCGTTGAAAATGATATAAAATGCAGGTATTGCAACACGACAAACTCATTGAACATACTTTTAGTGAGTGGTAAAACCGTTCTATGTGAACAAGATGGTAACGGAACAGTAGTATTCCGCGCCGGTGCGGTCGGTACCATAACGACGTCCAATGGAGGCTTCACAGATTCCTCCCGTTCTTACCCTTTGCCTGCCTCCTACTTTGGTTGGAACGATGCCGCTCAGGTTTATAATTACATAAAATCAGCAAGGTACGTAGATTTGAAGACAATATTTTTACTTTAAACACAAACACATTTAATAATTTGGATAAAACCTACTTACTCTACAGTAATCCTACCGCAATTATAAGGAGGAGTATCGAGACTACAGACCAATTGGCTCCATATGTTGTTTCATTTTCATCAAGGGGGCCAAACCCAATTACAAGGGACATTCTCAAGGTATGTTGCGCGCGCGCGCGTGCGCACACACACACATATATGTGTCTGTGTTCTGGTTTTAAATTGCAACACTTTGTTCGATCTTGTGCAGCCTGACTTAAGTGCTCCCGGAGTGTACATTCTTGCTGCATGGTCACAGGGTACCAGTGTAACGGGAATTCAGGGAGATCCAAGAGTAGTTCCATACAATATAATCTCGGGCACATCCATGTCTTGCCCACATGTAACCGGAGTAGCTGCGTATGTGAAATCTTTTAACCCTGGATGGTCTCCTGCTGCTATTAAGTCTGCTCTTATGACAACTGGTAATTAAATAAGAAGTAATTTCTCTTAAGGGATGTAAATATTAGTGAAGATTATTAATGTTATGTATTGGAATACATCCATTATTTGTAGCTAAGTAGCCTAACTTGCCTTGCTTCTTTTGTTCTTTGCAGCGCTTCCAATGAACAGTGCCAATAATCCTGATGCCGAGTTTGCATACGGGGCAGGTCATATTGATCCATTAAAAGCAGTAACACCTGGTTTAGTATATGATGCCGGACAGCTTGACTATGTGAAATTTTTGTGTGGCCAAGGTTATAGCACCCAGGCATTGCAAATTGTCACTGGAGACAGTAGCATTACTTGCTCTGCAGCCAACACTGGAACTGTTTGGGATCTAAATTATCCTTCTTTTGCCCTGACTTCTCAGAGTTACCAACCCATCACCCGTGTCTTCCACAGGACCATCACAAATGTTGGTTCACCGGTGTCCACTTATAGGGCAATTGTGGTAGCCGCCACAGGCCTTCAGATCCAAGTTGTGCCGAATGTCCTTACATTTAACTCACTAGGTCAAAGCCAGTCCTTTGTGGTTACTATCACAGCCACATTTATAAATAATAATGTAATGTCTGGGTCATTGGTGTGGGATGATGGGGTTTATAAAGTGAGGAGCCCCATTGTCGCACATTCTTCTTATGTGGCACATTCTTCCTCTTGAAAATTTATATATGCTTGCACCGGCCATATATAAGCTCTTATGTACGAGCATGTTTCCTAGCTACAAAATGAAATAAAATAGAAGCATGGTGTGTTTTGGATCACAATGAAGAAATTGCCTACTTTATTCATGGATAGCTAGCCAGTTGGATTTCAAGTATATACAATGGTAGAAAAGCATAAGAATCAATTATACAATTTGTGAATAAGCCCAAGTCAGAAAATAAGATTAGAATGACAACTTGTAATTGACCAAACTTTCTAAGGATTGGTATGAATATTGCACCTTTCTTGAGACAAAGATTTACCTTTTCCTTCAAACACGTTACTCTCCACCATTAGTTTTCCGATTGCTCTTTTTACCTTCCCTCTCTCTATCCCATTCTCCAATTGTATCCCAACTCTCCAAACATGGCATTCGCCAATTGGTACTCCCTGAAACAAGTGTTGGCTTTTCCTCTGATATCACTTTCTGAATTTGCACTGATACCACTTTGTTGGAAATACTTGTCTAGAAACACACACAACATTATAATATTTGGAAGAGAATAAAATGGAGAAAAATACTTTTATTTCACCTAATCCTAACTTTTTCTATATATAAAATTGCTAGAATACGTAATTATATAGACATAACTCCCACTACATATGTATAACCATTATATTTAAATGCTTAATTACACCCACTATTCTCACTAACATGACATTTAGTAGGTATAACTCCCACTAATATAACCATATAGCCTTAACTCTCACGACCCTTAGTTTTACATAACTTTCACAATCACATTAACTTTGATATACTAATTATCATTAAGACAATTTACTACCTACTAACATGCTAAATGCCCACTTACATTAAGACAAATACTTTAAATGACTAATTAAATACTAACATCAAGTTTATTTTTCAACAAGGGGAACAAATTATTGGAACTCCTTCACAAATGCTCTCTGATGTTGAATTCTATCCGTTGAGTCCAGAAGTCTCAGGATAATCCAGCAATTCTTGTTGGGAATCTTCATTATGGAAATGATAGAGATTGCTTATATAATAGGTCCACACTTGTCCTAAAATTGGGACCAGCTGAGTTTGTTTTGAAGTAATTAATGTACTTGAAATTAGGTGGAAGAGAAAGCTGGTGGTATACGCAATTATATGAAAGATGAGTGTGAAGCATGTAGACAAAGGAGATGATGCAGATTCACATACAATTCCACTTCTTCTCCTCACGTGGATGAGATGGATCCACCCGAGTCTTATTATAATACAAGCAGGCTGAAGCAGCCTCACCTTCACATGATGAGTTGTTATTTTGAACCTGTAACTCCAAGGAATAATAGAACGAAATTGAGTCTATAATAATACCAACAATAAATTAATATGGCAGGAGCCAGTGAATCATATTCAAGACGTTATTTATTGATCAAGGCCGGATGTGAGTGGTGTGTGAAATCGTCAATCATATTCAACCAATATCAAGGCGTTAATTATTGATTTAGGATGTGGATGGTGTATATAATTACTCTCGAGTCCTGGCCAAGTCTGGTGTGTTTGATGGAGAATAAGATGATTCTTTTCCTTGGCAGACGTAACACATTAAATCTTGTCTTCCACACGCTGATTTCTTTGGAACATTTGAAGAAGTCATTTCAACTTTTGAATTTGTATAGCCTCAAATCATGTTTTAAACCATGAGACTCGGAATGATTTTTTAATCAGCTTATTACCTCACTAGTGGTGTACAAGTTTCACTACTAATTCTGGTATCTACATACAGTGACTAATTTATTTATTTTTAGGTCCTAATTAATGCTTGTGTTCCTTTCCTGCATTTCTTAAAATTTTCTCATTTAAAAAATTATAATAAACCCAAACAAATAACACATAATTATGTCAGGTCAAAAGTAATCTTATAAGTACTCCGTAAAGATTAATTATCAAAACGATGAGATATAACTAATTAAGCTCTCAAGAAGTTCATATGATGAGCCACCCTTCTTTAGAGAGAAATGTACCTGCTGCTTCAAAAGGGAAATTCTTTATCGCATCTCTTCTCCTTCTTTCTCCACCATGAGTCTTCGAATTGCACTCTCAATGTTCCCTCCCTAGAACTTTCCAAACATGGCATACACATATATCTGGCATTCACCATTAGATCAGTGAAACAAGGAAGGCAAATCATAGGGATCCCTTCGTACAAATACTCTCCAACGTTGAATTCCATCTGTTATGACTCCAAAATGCTCCTACAGCATGATGTACGGAGAAAATTTTAGCTAGAAAAAGTGGATGTAAGCTTGAAAGTGAATAATTAGTTTTGGCATAATTACAAGAAGTGCTGCACTCTCTCATCTTTCCTGTATTTTTGTTGGATATCTCTTTTAAATTTAACTGTAATTAAAAAAATATCAAGTCAAAATTTAATTATAAGAAATTTAAATTTTATTTAATTACCGAGAGAAAAAAAAAAATTAATTTTATACATGTTATTCTAAATTTACAAGGGTAATTTAGTCACCATAAACTCACCATTAACAACTCCCACCCCGTAAGAAGCAATGCATTTTATAATACTTGAGAGGTGTTTCGGTCTAAGAGTCATTTTGTCCATTAAAAAAAAAAAAAAAAAAAATAGCCATTTGACAATTTGGACAGAAAAAACTCCACAGTGAGCCAGCGGCAACTATAATGAAAGACTATAGACGAATTGGCTCGATATGTTATTTCATTTTCATCAAGTGGGGCCAAACCCAATTACAAAGCACATTCTCAAGATTATCTTATACATTCATACAAATATATATATATACACGCGTAAATTATATGTATTGTATACATATGGAGGTTCGGGTTTAAAATTGCAACGTTTTATTCTTGTGCAGCCCGGCACATTCATGTCTTGCTCACAGTTTATGTGAAATCTTTTAATCCTAATTGGTATCTTTGCTGCTATTATGACAACTTGTAATTTCCTTTAAAAAAAGAATGTAAGCAAGCAATTCCAAACAAAAATAAATAAAAGATTACTCAAGTAAGTTATGTATTGAAATACATCCATTATTTGTAACTTGTGATTTGCATTTTGCGAATTGGTTATGTAATATAATATGTATAAGCAACCTAGAAGGTGGTAAAAAGTTTCAGCTCGTTCTTTTATTTAATCCTTGGTTAAATTAAATTTATCGAAATAAAAATAAATTAATCAACTTACAAAGCAAAAATAAATACAAATAAAGTAGAGTAGAATTTGAGAGACACATGTTTAAACTGCAAATATCATTCCATATAGTAATCTAACAGGGCATTCAACATAATTTGAGGCCTTAGGCAAAAATTATAAAAATAACTTTAATCAGTTGTTCATTTGTTGAATTTTTACAAATTTTTTTAATGTTTTGATTATTAATTGTAGCTAATTTTTCAATAACTCCATTTTGAGATTGAATTAATTTATCTATTCTTCTCCTTTTAAAGTTTTTTATATCCCGATTTATACTTTATAGTATACATATTCAACCATATAAATAAAAATGCTCACTCCCAGAAAAAAAAAATATATACAATTTATGATCACAAAATAATAAATTTACAAAATAAATAGAGTTAAAAGAACAATAGAATCTGATTTAGAAAAATTCGATCTAATGCGCCAATAAATTCTTCAGTAGAATAAAAGTGAGTTCAGAATCTTCAGATGGAGTAAGACAATGAGGTTGTAAATTGTTAATGAGTATTGAAGGAAAAAAAAAAAAATGTAAACGGAGAGAGGGGAGATATAGGTAAGGAATATGGAGAAATAAAAAAGGAAGATAAAAAGTTAATAGGATAATTACAGCTCTCGTGTAATGATAGTCAGAAAAAATAAAAATAAATAAAGGATAAAAATCTTAAGTTTCAGTAATTACAGCTCTCATGTAATGATAATCAGAGAAAAAAAAAGGATGAGAAAGAGGATGAAAATCTTAAGGGTTCGTTTGGTTAGCGTGAAGTAGGTAAAAAGGAAAAGAAACGGAAAAGAAATTTAATTTTTAGGAGTTTGGTTACCTGGAAAGGGAAAATTTTTGGGAAAGTGAAATTCCCGTATCGATAAATTTTCCCAAAATATTTCCCCGCAAAAAACACAAGAAAGTAAACTTTCTCACACAAAACTGTCATTTTATTTCCAAAATTCCTATTATGCCCAGTTGTTTCTCCATTTTTTTTCACATAACAAATATAGTAGTTATTAAATTCCGACTTAGAAAATATTCCAACAATTATTATATATTGGGACACATAATTTGATTATATCCAATACATCGTTACCTAAAATTTTTGGAAATAAATTAAGAGTTGAAGGGTGGAATATTAAATAATATAACTTTTAATTTTTTATCAATATCTCAACAGAAATATGAGAAGAGATTAATTTGAGTCATCATATTATTTATATAACATAACAATTTTACATGGATGAAAATTAATATAATATTTATTTTTTACTATCTACACAGCTTTGACTGAATAACGTTTTATACTGTGTAATTTTTGCACAGAAAAATTTGCATAGAAGTGATTCATATTCATAAAAAATATGAAAGGGGACGGATAAATTATGCATAAACCATAAAATTATTATGCATTGAATTATAAAATATGTTACTTTTGCATAACAATTTTTATTTTAGAGTTGCCATTTAATGTTTCTTCGAGGGGGCTTAAAAAAAGATATATTTAATAATTCAATAAGATATGTGTATATTATCATAAATGAACTATATTCTACATATAAATATAAATAATTATTATTGAAAACACAAAATAAAAAAATCTGGCAACTAAAATGCAGTGGTCCTTAGTTTTTCTAATTTAAATATGAATATAAATAATAATAATAATAATTAATAATCCATTATTTTATGATAAAACATGAGTATGATATGATAAGTGAATTATATTCTACATATAAATATAAATAATTATTATTGAAAACAGAAAATATAAAGAATATGACAACTAAAATGTAGTCCTCCTTACTTTGTCTAATTTAAATATGAATATAAATAATAATAATTATTATTATTAATCCATTATTTTACTATTTAATTGCTAAAAATTAATATAAATAATTG